ATATATATATATATATATATATTATATATATATATATATATATATATATATATATATATATATATATATATATATATATATATATATATATATATATATATATATATATATATATATGTCGGCGCCCCACAAGTTTGATCCGAATGAGTTACCTTGGCAATAACACAGAGCAAACTTTTGGCAATAGCTTTGGCAACAATTTTATAGTCAGCGCATAATAATGTAATGGGACGCCAATTCTTCATGTCAAGACGATCCGCCACGCTTATGGATGACGGTGATAACCGCAGATCGCTGCGAGGGAGACAATTGTCCATGAATATAAGCAAAATTAATGACATCGACAAAATCAGTTCCGAAAGCGACCAAAAACGTTGATAGAACTCAGCTGGAAGTCCATCAAGGCCCGGGGATTTACCAGTAGCCATGGCATCCAGTGCTGTCTTGCATTCCCCCTCAGTTAGTTCGCCCTCACACAAACTTTGTGCAGCTCTGGACAGTTTCAGTGACAAGAAATTCAAGAAGAAGTCTTGTTCAATTCGATGTAGGCTCTGCGTCGTAAATAGTAAACAATAAAAGCCACCCACGCCAAAGCGATACCCACGAAGGTAGAAACCACCGTGCCGGCCATGTTTTTAACTGAAGTAATGATCCTACGCTGACCACGTTTACGTTCTATAAACTGAAAAAATACTTGGTAGAGTCTTCTCCCTCTTCTGCTCATTGAACTTTTGCGCGAATACGGGCTCCTCTCGTTTCATCTCGATGAGCGGCCTCCAGTTAATTCACTTTTAACATCTTCAATGATTGGAAGGACCTCGTCACCATTAAGCTGGCGTCTGTTTAGATGAAATAAGGTATGCTCTAACGATGTATGCATCCCACCGCGATCCCACCACGCAGTAAGCGACAAGAAAGAAGATTTATACACTCTCCAAGATGACCAGAAGTCCGACACTAGTTTAACGAAGGACTCATCTGAAAGGTGCCGAGTATTCAACTTCCAAACACGTCAATGTCCACGATGGGTGGCGGATGGAAGACAAAGCTCCAAATATACAGTGGAATGGTCGGAGCGGAAAAAGGGAAGGATATGGACACGCATGACGCAGGACAAGAGCAAGGCGGTATTTTCACATATTGTTAGAGCCGGTTTGAAATTTGTAAGCGTATCAAACAGGAATTATTATCAGCGCAAATAAATATGTATTTCAATCAATGCTTCTCAAACGAGATCAAGCGGGCCAACATAAGGTATATTCCAGATTGTGAGGGTAAATAAATACTGTGTCATTACGCTGATTTAACAGGGTGCCAAATAAGTGCTCCGAAGTGTACGTTATTTCATCGTTTGCTATAATGATTCCCATCGAGACAGCGCTCATTGACGGTGCGTGATTGCATTCTAAATTAGTAAAAACAGATCAGTTCTATAAGGCTGGGTTTAAGTTTGACCCCAGGTTGTCGAGAAATAGTAAAT